GGATGCTGACACTGAAGTTTATCTGTGCAGCATTTAAAAAAAGGAAATCAGTAATAGGAAAGTTCTCAAGAATAAGTAAATTGTTTTTTGCTACAGATAATTTTTAAGCCCAAAGTCCTCCCCACACACAGAATTTTGTATTGTGCTAGTAGGAGAGTATCAAACAGCAACAAAACCAGTAATGCTCATGGCAGAGAACACACCAGGGGTAATATTGATATTCAGAAGTGCTACTTACATCATGCTCATGTTTTTTGACCAGGTTATAGACAAGGCTCTTTGAAATCATTGTTTTCATGTTAATCTCCTGGTGCTTCTCACCCATTAGTGAACCCAAGAGCTCAGGAGGAATCAATGTAAATGATAGAGGTTCTGACCCAGTTCAGGGATTGCTAAAGAATGAATTTTGGGGGGGGGGGTTGGTACCAGGGATTGAACTTGGGACCTTGCACTTTCAAGGCAGCCATCGGCACCACTGAGCTAAATCCCCAGCCCTGTAACCTCTCCTTTTTAATAAAAATTATTTATTTACTTAGTTGTTTATGGTACTAGGGATGGAACTCAGGGCCTTTGCACTGAGCTAAATCCCTAGCACTTTGTATTTTGTTTTATTTTTATATTGAGACAGTGTCTCATTAAGTTTCTAAATTCCCCAGGCTGGGCTCAAATTTATGATCCTCCTGCCTCATCCTTTCAGAATGCTGGGATTACAGGCCTGTACCATCACACCCAGCTAAAATCTTTAATCTTTAGGAAATGAAATTTGTTGTTAATTTTAAAAAGGTAAAGGTACTAATTTTTTTTTTTTTGCAGTAACAGAGGTAATATCCCATAGTCAGGTGGAACGTAGTACTGGCTTCTCACTCTAGATGGACATCTGTTCTCCAGTTTACTGCAGTCCACACCTAGCTCACTTGCTCCACTTTTGTTTTCTAGGGTCATCTATATACATGTGAATCTGGGGATCACTGCAGTCCTGCTGTGGAGGGCTAAATGCCAAATACCCAAGAGAAATCCAGTTGGCGGAGGGAAGATTTACTTTAGCTCATGGCTTCAATCCATGGCCACTTGGCTCTGTTGTCTCTGGGCCTGTGGTGAGGAGAATATCACAGTGGAGAAGATGTGGTGGAGCAAAGCTACTCACCTCATGGCAGCCAGAAGCAGAGAGAAGGAGAGGGAGACAGGGAGAGAGGGAGAGGGAGGGAGAGACAGAGAGCCAGAGCCCCAGTGAGCTACCTCCTCCAACTAGAACCTACTTCTTAAGTTTCCATCACCTCCCTCTAGACCATAAAGTTATGAATCTGTAAGTGGATTAATCCATTCCTGAGGTCACAACCTTCATGATCCAATCACCTCCCAATGCTCCGTCTTGGAGCATTGTTGCCTTGGGAACAAAAACTTCAATATGTAGGCTTTTGGGGGCACATTTAAGATCCAAACCCTAGCAGCCTTCATAGATACAGAGATCCTCATCCCTAGAACCTGTGAATGCTAATTTATGTTGAGAGCCATTCTACGTAATTTTGGGGACAAATCATTTCATAATTAAATTTTGATTAGGTGCTATGTGAGGCTTTATCTCCTTGTCTGTGAGCCAGCTATGGCATACAGAAACATAATTCTGTTTTGCCTCTGGTCACAGCTGAAGCCTCAATGGTCCTGTGATTCTGTGACCCTCAAGGGCAAAATTACATCAGCTGAAGACATCTTGGTTCTTTGAGAACAGAGTAGTAATTTTAAAAAAAGGAGAAAGGTTTCACCTGCGTAGGGGCAAATTTCTTCTCAGTTTAACTCATCCCACCTGCTGTTGTAAGACTGTTTTGCTAATCTCACCTTCCTCATCAACACAAGATCCTCATCGACCTAAGTCCTCATCAGAATAAGATCCTCATTAACATAGGATTGCCGCTGCCCTCTGAGTCATCTGATACTCCCTCCAATTATTATTATTATTATTATTATTTGGTACCAGGGATCAAACTTGGGAACTTGTGCTTGCGCAGCAGGCACCGGAACCACTGAGCTAAATCTCCAGGCCCTCCCTCCAATTATTTTATCAACCCAATAAATAGTGGCAAGCTCAGGGTATCTTTATCTCTGCCCACTCTGAGGCACTGAACTCCTGGCCCCTCATGTACTTTGAAATTACGGGTCTCTATGTCTTTCTTTCTTTAGCCCTCACTGTCCCCCTTTCTAGGCAGTTGGAGGACTGATCGCCCTCCCATAAATTGAGGTGGAAAAAGGGTATTTGCAGAGGTGACCAGTGAAGGATCTTGAGATGGGGGATTAGTCTTGATTACCACATGTACCCTGTGTGGTCAAAAGTCTCCTTCCAAGAAAGATGCTTTGGTGCTGGCTTTGAAGGTAGAGGAAAGGATCACAAGCCAAGGAATGCAAGGAAGTTGTACCTGAAACAGGAAGAGGAGCCTCTGGAGGGAACACAGCACGACCAGCACCTCAACTTCAGCCCAGAAAACTGATTTTGGACTTTGGATGCATAGAATTATAAGAGAATAATTGCATGCTGTTTTAAGCTACTTAATTTGTTACAGCAGCAATAGAGTGCAATTATACTTTCTAACCCTGTATATGAGAACAAGTGAATTAATCTCTGATCTTATTCCCTCCCCTCACCACCTTCTTGAGAGCCACCTGACCCTGAAATAAAGAAGTTCTTGTACCTCTGCTGTCTGAGGAAGATGAAGGAGATGGGAGGTAGTTTGGGGCAGGATGATGGCCATGTGTCAGTCATCTTTCTGGAGCTCCAGCAGAAGCTCAGCTGGGGTTCCTAGGGGGACAAACCCCATTTGGACAATGGGCAGAGAAGAGCCTGGCAACATGGGAGATACTAAGACCGAATTCCCAGAGTTCCTCGCCTGCTAATGTTTTAGGTTGGTCCTGAATCCCTTCACCCTTCTTCAGTTTTGGGGAACTGTCTCCCCTATTTCTTGTGGAAATCCAGCTTCTCACTACCCTCTCCACCTCCTCCAGGAGTTGGGAATGTGGCTAATTAGGGAGAGGGGGCAAGGGGGGTTCTCATAATGGATTGGGTACCAGGATCACCTGGAAGAATTGTTAAAACACAGATCACAGGGGTTTCCCTGCAGAGTTTCTGATTTAGCAATTTGCCTTGAGAATTTGTGTTACAAAGGAGTTTCCAGGTGTGGTTGTCCAGGCCACACTTTGGGGATCTTTGTTCTGGATATTTGAATCCCAGAAGAAAAGCCAGGCAGTGAGCTCATCCTACAGAGATGGTTCATGAGTTCTGTTCCTGGTTCATGGAATCCATCCATGAATTTGACCTATTTCTTGGCATTTTAAGAGTTTGGTTATTTTTCTTTCAGTTTAACTTTGTGAACCATCCCTCAAGTCCAGTTTCTTAAGGTAGCATAATTTAGTTTCTGTTGCTTGCAACCCAAGAACTTCAATAGATTGAACTTGCAAGGAACACTCTTGATGTGGATACTAGACTTACAGAGCCCAAGTTCCTCACAATCTCTATCTGCCAAGACTTTTAGTATGGATATAGCCGTCATTTCTTGACTGCTTTATGCATGGTAGGAATTTCATGGGCATTTTATCAGCCTTACAGTCACTCAGAAGGGAATATACTTTTACTTTTCATCTGAGGAAATGGAGGCCCAGGAATTTACTATTGGAAAGTTGGAAAGATATAAAATCTACATAAACCTTGTCAATGAATGGGAGGCACCGTCAAGAAAAGGACAATATTTTCCTTCCTCTTGGCATGTTTCTTTCTCTGCTTTTCCCATTTGCTCTGAGTGGCAGGCTGCTTGCTCTGCTCCTATAAAAATTCTTCTAAAGAGGTGAGAGGAAGTGTTGCACTTGATGAGTGTAACTTAGTGTTTAAAAATATGCAGTTTACTTTGTGATTTAAATATTAGATGTTTTATAAATTCTGGAGATATCAGCTGAACCATAGTTGGCTTTTGACTTATAAGTAGTAAAACAAGTTTGATTGACCCTTGGGCTCCACAGGATGAAGAAGGTTAGCTGGATGTCTGCAGGGGACAATAGCTCATTGCTGATATGTCTACTTAATTAGCAGCAGACACTGAACAGCAGCAGCCATAGCTCTGTGCTACATCATGGCTGTGGGACTTGATGGAACCCGAGCGAGCCAAGATACAGCTGCTACCACAGATGCTTCATCGAGCACTCCAAGTTGAGCAAGACATGATCTGAGGGGTAGCTGTGACACGCCTTGTAGCTTTGTCCATTACAAGTGACACACGTCGGAGCTGCTTGAGGTCTCCATGGACAGGGGTTTTTCAAGCTTATGAAGAAAATGCTGGGGACACATCTGCACCAAAAGGAAATGAAGAGCGCCATTAATCCCTCTCAAATTACTCTTCCTCTCTTTGAACAAACACACTTATCCCAGCATTCCTGCCACCTCCTGAGGCAGTTCTGGAAGTTCTCTTTCCTAAGTGTCTTTAGTTGCACTGTCGTGGCTGCCTTGAACTGGTTCAAAACACAATTTTTCCTGGCCCTTCTGATTTTGAGGAAAGAGTCGGAAGTTGCACCTTGCAGATATAGTGAATAAGATGAATGAGGACACACTGTGACGTTTTTTGGGAGCTGCCTGTCCTTTGCATGGCACCGGACAACAGCATTCACCGTATTTTAAAATCACATTTTGTAAAGACACTCAGGAAAGAGGATTTCCAGAACTGCTTCAGAAAGTGTGGAGGAAGATTGGGTATGTGTGTTCAAAGTGAGGGAAGTGTTCCGAGGGGCACTCATGGCAATGTCTTTTACGGTAATAATTTTTTAAAATTTAAATATTCACCATGTATTTCGATGAAGTGGTTCAAGGCATATTTGTTGAATGAAGGAGCAGTCTGTGCTTGTCAAAGCCATACACAGTAAAGCTGGGTGCTGGCTCCCTGTGCGCTCAGGTAGCTCGAGGGGCGGGGCCGGAGGCGTGGCCGTCCGCCCGGAACCCAAAAGCGCTACCCCTGCGGTTTCCGGTCGCGGCGGACACTTCCCGTGAAGGGACTGTCCCGTGGCACCGGTGGGCGAAGGAGGGCACGGAGGCCCCGGAGCAGCGACAATGGACGACCACGGCCTGGAGGAGTTCCGTCGGCGCTGGCAGGAGGAGCTGGCGCAAGCCCAAGCGCTGAGGAAGCGGCGGAAGCCGCGACGGCCTGAGGTGGCTGTCGGGCGCGGCGAGCAGGCCTCAGGGTACCTGGCGCTGGCCCAGGGCCTCCTGGAGGGTGCGGGGCGGCCCCCCGCGGCGCAGGCGACCCAGGCAGAGAGGCGGGAAGCTGCAAGCCGCTCCCGCTCCCCTCCGGCCCGGGAAGGCGCGGGGGGCGGGGAGCAGCTGGTGGACCAGCTCATCCGCGACCTGGTGAGTGGCGGTCCCCTGCTACCGACCCCGGGCCGGCCTCCGCCCCCAGAATGAACCCCTCAATAACCTGGAAAGTTAACTTTCTCCATAGGGCAATGGAGGGATGGGGAGGGGTACCCACACACATGTTTGTGCACGCATAAGGTCTCAGCAGACTGCTTCTCAACCGGGGGCTGTTTTGCCCCTCAGGTTTGGCAGTGTCTGCAGACGTTTTGGGGTGACTCAGTGTGTGTTGCGCGTGGGCTCGCCCGCTATTGGGCATACACGGGGCCGGAGGTGTTCGAGAGCATCCTATAGGACAGACCCACAAAAAATTATCGACCCAAATATCAGTAAGTATGAGTTTGAGCAATCTTGCTCTAGAACGATACCTAAACTTTTTTTTTTTTTTGGTACCAGGGATCGAACTCAGGACCTTACGTTTTCGAGGCAGGCGGCTGAACCACTGAGCTAAATCCCTGGCCCTGGATACCCAAACTTTTTTTAAGTTCTTTTATTGGTACGTTTTAGGTATACAATTCGTTTACATTTATCATTGGGTGTTTGTACCTGTACATGATGTATCTTGGTTTTTATTTTTTCCCCATTACTTGTGCTCCTTTCATGGATACCTAAACTTTTAACAAAGGTTGTCTTTGGAGAGGAGAGCCCAGGCAGTAGGTATGAAGAAATTAAATTTCTCTGTACACTGTGTTAATTTTTCTAATTGTATATATTTAAAAAATAAAGCAGATGGGAAAAAGGAGAAACTTTGACTCCTTTGGGGGAGTAGCCTTAAGATGGATAGTAGTTCTTATCTTTTATGAGTCTTCTAGAGGAAGTTGGAGGCCCTCTCTATAAAAATAGCCCCATTCACTAAGTGAGAAGAATCAACATCACTTGACAGGATTCATGACTCCCAGGTTAAGGATTAGGAGAGGACAGCAGGCCTTGATGGTTTGATTTTAATTAGGCTTAAAATTTCTGTAGCTTTCCAATTGGGAATAACTCTGTAAGTGGAAATTGTTTTAAGAAGTAATGGCTCATTATTTTATATAATGTGTAGTTTTAGTCAAACTATTAATAGCTGCAAAATTGAGGGGATTTTTTAGCTATATGTCTTGTCCTGTGCTCTGCCTTAATTTTAACACAGCAGTCCTGTGTGGTAGGTGTTAACTCTCCTTTTACAAATGAAGAGACTTGAAGAAGTTGTCTGTGATTTGCCCAGTGTTATCCCGCTGATTAACTCTGGGCATTGATTGAATTTTAATTCAGATTTCTTTTCTTTCTTCTTTTTTTTTTGAGACACAATCTTGGTATGTTGCCCAGGTTGCCCTCAGTCTGAGGATCCTCCTGCTTCAGCCTCCCAAGTAGCTGAGATTATAGGTGCATACCACATGCTCAGTTTAGGTCTTCTGAACTTTGAATTTCACCAAGTGAAACTTGAGCTGGCATAAAAATCACCTGAAATCTTGTTAAAATACAGGTTCTGGGTCTTCCCCAGACTTGCTGAATCAATTGCTTGACAGAGGGCAACCCCCAAATGATTGGATGTTGAGACATTGTTCTCTACTGTGGTCTTTTGGATCTTAAATCCTGATCCTCAAGGCTTTCTGACAGTAACACTCGGGCACTGATACCAAAAGTAGTGGAGAAGTAAATAATATATCCTAAAAATGAAGCTAGGGGAAGATCCAGGGGGCACAGCAAATCCAAGTTGTGTATGGACAGCAGTTGGAAAAAGCCTGCCCCTTTCAGAATCAACACTTTAGGTACTTCTAGGCTCTACTTATGAGCAGCATCCAACCTTGGGGCACCTCTAATTTGTTAAAGTACTTGTAATCCCAGAATTTGAAAGGCAGAGGCAGGAGGGTCACAAGTTTAAGGCCAGCCTGGGCTTCATAGTATGACCCTGTTTTAAAAACAAAGCACACTTTCATCCCTCTCTCTCCATTAATCCAGACTGTCTGGAGATAGAGCCACCTGAATATAGTTACGTATGTTTCTTTCTTTAGTTGGTGGTTGTGATCTACCGTTGCTTGGTCCCATTTTTTATTCACATCTCTGGGCTGCAGAGTGGCAAGTACCCAACTCAAACTGGCTTTAAAAATTCAAACTGGAATCTGTTAATTCATATGACTGAAAATTCCAAGTGCTGGTTGGTACTTGTTCCAGGTGCTTACATAATGTAACTGGAGGTCTTCTTTTGGTGCTGTTTTCCTTTTTTCTCTTCATTCACAGCAGGATCACCTTCTTGGGGACAAAATGTCTTCCAACAACTGCAGTCTTATGTTCTGTCAACTTAGCAGTTCAGGGGGAAGAGAACAGAGCCTGTCCTTTGTGCAGCTAAATTCATGAACCTGAGTTTTTATTGGTCCAAACTAGGTCATGTGACCGATTTTGAGTCGCTGATTCACATTGTCCAGACTTGTATCCCCATACCTGGAGAGAAGTGTGGAGTATGCTGCACCTAAGCCATGTTGAGTAAGAGTTGTAGTAGAAAGGTTTCCTAAAAGAAGACAGAGTGGATATTAAACAGGAAATAGCTACAGATGTCTACTTTAGGTGGCTGTTTGAAGCAGCACAGATGGGAATATATTTCCTTTTCATTCAGCATATACTGATGAGTATAGTGCTGATGAGTGAGGTGCTGGGGAATCTGCAGTAAACAGAATGGATATATTTTCTGTCCTCAAGAGAGTCTCTTGTTTCTTTTATCTGAAAGAATGACATTAATGGAAGAAGGAAGCCTTTGTTATGGTTCTGGGTTCAGGAGTTGATAGACCCTTGCAGATTGAGATTCTGCTGCTGACTGGTTCTCTCCTGTTGTGGTGAACTCATGCATTGAATTACCTGGAATGGCTTCCCTTCCTCTTTGCTGTCCTTTGCCTTTCCTTTAAGGCTCAGCTTAAATTCCATCTCTTCGCTCCTGCCCCAGTTTTTCTTCCTCTAAATAAAAAGATTTTATTATCATTTCCATGTATTTTTTCATATTCATGAATTAGCAGGCCTCTGGGTGCATTTTGAAACGATCAATGTGAATACATATTAGAACAACTCGTAACTTAGGTCATGTCTTCACTGGAAGTTTGCTGCTTGAAGCCATTGGGCTTCATTCATTCCACAGTGCCCATTAAGTGGCTTCCTAGTACTGGGCAGTCTTCTAAGCACTGAAAATGCAGCAATGAGCAAGACAGAAAAAAAAAATCTGTGCTCCCTTTATAACTTACATTCTGGGGAAGAGGGAACTAGATAATGGACAGAGAATTGCCAGATAAATGGTCTGGAGAAAAAGGTAGAGGGGATAGAGTGTGTCACTGTGTCATGGGAGGGAGTATGATTTTGAATAGTACTATCCAACAAGGCCTTTCTGGGAAGGTCACATTTCAGGGAAAGTGGAGGGGACTCCAGGCAGAGAACAGCACATGCAAAGGTTCCATGGTAGCCAGGGCCAGCAGCCTCATAGGGATGCAGCCTGAGAGGTCACACAGTCCCCATGCTCAGAAGGACCCTCTACTCAGTTTTATGCTGTGCTGTTGTCTTGAAATTCTTAATCATTTTTGACCAAGGGCCTCCACATTTTTGCCTCATACTGGGGCCTACAAATTATATAGCCAATTTTAATGCTGGGATTGTGCTTGGAGTGTTTGGAACTTTTGGCCAAACAAATCCACTCACGCATAATACCCCTCTGGGACCTGAAGCTTCTGACCAGCTGGGATCACCTCCTCCCCAACTGTCCTTTCTGTGTTCTAAAGCTTTGGTCCTATTTAGACAGAAAGGGGGCTTTGAAAGAAGAGGTTCAGCCTGTTTAGCTCCACACTGATTTCCTTCACAGCCGTACCCATCCTCCTGAGATCCCCCAGCACTAGTTCTCCTAGTCCAGTGGTGGCAAACCTATGGCATGTGAGCTGTTTTCACCATTGAAAGCTCTAAAAGGTTTCCCATCACTGCCCTAGTCCTTTACATTGGCATTTTCTACCTCCCTCCCTTGCCTGAGTCCCTAGGGAAGTCATACCATTAGGTAGTGAATGAGAGTTTGCTTTAAAATTGGAAAGCCTATTCCTGTAAACAAAAACTTTAGACGAGATAAGGTGGGCATGGTTGTACACACCTGTGAACCTGTAATCCTAGCTCTTTGGAAAGCTGAGGAAGGAGAATCACATGTTCAAAGACAATTTAGCAAGACCCTGTCTCAAAATAAAAAATAAAAAGAATTGGGTTTATGTAACTCAGAGCTCTCTGGGTTTAATCCTCATACCACACCAAAAAAAAAGCAAATGCCATGGACATTTATTATACATCTACCATACCATGTGCCTGCAGTGTTACAGTTCAGTCATATCATCTGTGTGTGCGGTCAACAAATACGTATTGAATACTTTTCGCTCTTCCTTAGAGCTAGACATGGGAACAAGGTTCAGAGTTAAGAGATAAATTGGCTTTTTGTTGACTTCTTGGGAGCTTAACCTCTCTTTATAATGTTGTTTCTTTGGAGAAATGATTTCCAAGTTCTAAACAGCTGACTTACTAATGAACTATGGAATACCTTAGGGAACTATCTGTATTGCTTCTTGTAGTCTTCTGTATGTGTGTTTTACGTGAGGATGAGTTATCTCTGTAAAAGATTGTAGCTCTTTGGATGTAATGCCATTTCTTGTACATTTGCCAAAAGCACCTGCCCTCCCCTAGCACTGGGCATGGCCTTGAATTCAGTGTTTTGAACGTAAGTCATCTTATTTTTAAAAAACATGCTGCGTGCTTCCTATAGAAATATTTAGGAAATTCAGAAGACTAGAAAGAAAACAGAAATCTCCCATAATGGTATTGCCCAGAGGCTACCATTGTTCACATTACTGTTGTTCATTTTTCCTTTGTGCATATTAAAACATGTATTTTGAGACAGAATGTGTACTTATTTATTTTCAGAGTGTTTCAGGCTCACCCCTCCCCCAGTCAACCAATTCTTTTCCCTCTTAAAGAAGACACAGGTGAAACTGGAACCCCCTCCATTCCTTCTG